ACACAAAAAATGTATTTTATGAATTATCTTAAGCATAAAAAAACAATTATTCCCTTTTATGCTTAAGAAAAAATCATTATAATGTATTGAAAATATTCACTTAATGGAAATGCAACAATTTTCACTTACCTAACCTGTTACTTCACACTATTGTTAGAATCAATTTTATAAAGGTAAAATTTTAATCTAGCAATATGGTTTAATTCAAAAAAGTCAGAAGGTTTATAGAGGTAATATTGCTGCTTCAAACAGAATTTTGCTGGGTTTTAATTTTCCATAGAGCACTGAAATAAATAAATTTTTAAGTTTTGTTTTAAAGGTTTCAAGTCTTCTACAATACAAATTTTAGACACCACCGAATCCTTTAAACACACACACACACACACACACACACACACACACACACTTATTTTAAGTTTTGTTTTACTCCATGGTAGAAAGTATTGAAAACTGGTCTTTTTTTTTTTTTTCTGCCAAAATCGCATTTTCACCTGAAATAATTGTATTCAGGTTTTCCCAGCAGGTAAAGATACATTTTTACAAGGTTTCAAATTTCAGAATTCCAATAATGCATTCAAACTGAGCACCCACCCGACTCACGTTCCTGTGTGTGTGTGTGTGTGTGTGTGTTATCTTGAGGTTCTATTATGTACACTGAATTTTAGTTGTTTTTTGTGTGTGTTTTTTTAATCTCCTCAGAAATACTTTAGTGAACCCTGAGCATTTGCTAACCACTTAATAATCGTGAACCGGCCAGTCCCTTCAAGGGATCGTTAACCACAAAAGTGCCTGACAATTTCCAAATCATACCCTCTTGTCCAGAAGGAAAAGATAGGGCTTTGTGAGGCGGAAAGGAAGCGAAGGAAAACAAAACAAATGTAGCTCATGCTGAAAGTGAAAAGTGCTTGGACAGATTAGTATTTTCTTTTCTGCAAGGCGCCCTGCCAAACTTTTTTTTCTTTTTCTTTTCTTTTTTTTAATAGAGAAGAATTATTTTTTTCGGTCTGATTTCCCAGTTTCTTGGAAAGTGTGGGTCTTTACCATCCCCACGGGCCCCTCCTAATCACGGTTGATGGTTTCGTGTTTTTCCCACCCGTCTACCTCTCCGATCGCCGGGACCCCCTCCTCCCTCTGTCCAAACCCCAACTCCGGGGGCGACCCTGGGCGTGGAAATCCCGCCGACTCCCGACGACACGTCCCCCTCGCGCTTCTCATTTTCAGTCGCAAGATTCTCCCACTGGCGTTGCAGCGCAAGCCGGAAATTTTCATTTAACCCCCGCTCCCCCCCCCCTCCCACTCCCTCGCCTCGCCCCCCACTTGGAGCCCCGAGCTGGGGAGCCGGGAGGCTGGGAGCACCGCCGGGCGCTCCGGAAGGCTTTCATTTGCACACTTGCCGGCCGCCGCGCCGCAAGCCCCCAGCCCCGCGCCCGCCCGGTGGGTCCGGGCAGCGCCGGCCTCCCGCCCCCGCCCCCGCCCCCAGCCCCGCGCCGCCTCCCCAGCCCGGGCCCCGCGCGCCGGCCGGAGCCCCGCGGCTCCCGTCCACCCCCTGCGAGCCTCGCGGGCGGGCGGCGCCCTCCGCCGTCCTCCGCCCGCCTCCGCCGCAGTGCCCACCCCCTCGCCGCCCGCGAGCTGGTGACTCCTTCCTCCGGCCGGTTACCTGCTCCGCGCGCCGCCGCCGACACGTGCGGAGGGCGCCTGACACCGCGGCCCCTCGGCAGGCCGGACGCGGCCGGGTCGCCCAGGTGAGGGTCTGGGCGCCCGGGTGGGCGGGTGGGTGGGCTGCGGGGTGGGAGGGGGAGGGGGCCCCCGGGGGAGGTCTGGGCCCGTGGCTTAGGGGTCGGAAGTGAGGGTGTGGGGGGGTGACTGTTGGGGTGGGGAGGGTATGTCCTCGGGATCCTCTTCGATTAACCCTTCGAGCACCGGGGCGGGGTAATTACGGGGTCCCGTTTGGGGGAGCTAGAGGAGTCTCTCTCTCCCAATCGGACTGGAAAGGAGGACATCGCACACTTAGGGACACCCAACCCGAAACCCGGTGCCCGCTCCCACACAGCCGTGCGCACAAGCACCGACACCCCTGGTGCAGGGTTTGTAAACGGAATTTAAAACTCCTCAAGAACGGCCCTACAAGAACCCACATGTAGAGGGTGGGAAATGCCCCGCCTCCGGGGGACTCTGTGCGGGAGAATGTGTGTCCGTGCCCCGCAGTGGGTTTCCCACGAAAGCTTCCCTCTCCGGCGAGCGCAGGCCCCCCGCCGGCAGCCCCCGCGGGGGAGGTGCGCGCCCGGGGTGGGGGGGGGGCGCCTGCAGGCTGCCCAGCGCCCAGGCTTTGGAGCCCCGCGTGGACTCGGGGCAGATTTGCTTTAGTTTTTCCCAGTTTACTTTTTTCAGAATTTCACATCTCTAACGGGTTATTGCAAACGCACACCCCGCGGGGAGCAGCCCGCCCGCCGGCCCGCGCGCACGTGGGCGCCTCCGCGCCGTGCGCTCCCGCGGGAGCCGGGGCCCCGGGGCGGCCTCCGGGCGCTGCGCCGCGGCGACCCTCGCGGGAGCGGCTCGGCGGGCTCGGGGAGAGGGAGGCACATGGAGGATTTCATTGAGTGCGAAGACGGAGCGCAGAGACAGAAAGCAGAAGGAGGCGGCTGCAGCCTTTGTAGTCGCGGAGGAATGCGGAAATGTGGAAGCACGATGTCAAACTTTTTGAAATGGGGTCAAGTCACATTCAGCCAGCGTGGGAAAGCAACAACAACAACAGAAAAAGAAAAAGAAAAAAGAAAAAAAAGTGGAGGAGGGGGAGGCGGGGGGCGAAGGCGCTGATGCTCCCGGTTTCTCCCCTCCCGGAGCCGACGGTCTGGGGAGCGAGGAGGGGCCGCGGGGCCGGGCGGTGCGGGGCGGGGGCGGCGGGCGCAGTGGGCGCAGTTCCCTGCGGGGGTGGGACGTCCGCGCCGCTTCCTTCGCCGCGGAGCCCGGGCCGGAGGGGCGGGGAGGGGGCTGGGGGGCGGGGATGGGGGGGGTGGGGACACGGGAGGGCGGGGATGGGGCTGGGGGGCGGGGATGGGGCTGCGGGGGTGGGGACACGGGAGGGCGGGCGGGCGGGCTGGCTGCGCTGCCGGCGGCGGCTCCTCCGCTACCTGTGTGGCCCTCGGCCTGGCTCGGGTCCTCGGCGGGCGGCGGGGGCTGGCTCCTCGGCTCCCCCCGGATCGCCCGCCCCCCTCTTAGAGGAGTCGGAGCGGTGTAAGCGGGAGAGGCCCCCCCCCTCCCCGCGGCCGGGACGTCCCCTCTGCCCGCACGCAGCGGGGGTCGCGCCGTTTGTGGGGCTCATTCCTGGAGGAAGGCGGCGGCCGCGCTGCGGGGCAGGTAACTCCCAGGTGGCCGGGGACGCGGGCGCGCGGCCGGCGCGGCGAGTCTCTCGCCGGGGCTGCCGTGGCCGCGGGGGGCAGGTTTCCTGGGAACTGAATTGCAAAATGAATGGCGAGGGGAGGTGACCTCCCCCATCCCCGACACACACACACACACACACACACACACACACACACACCACCCTACACTTTGTTGCGGGGGGTGGGGGGATGGGGGCGGGGGCGACTGGCTGCAGAAGGCACCAGGCCTTCAGCCTAAAGGGGAATGGAAACCTCGGCTGCGGACATCGGAGACGATCCCGGGAGCCGGGAAGAGCCCCGGCGCCGCGAGAGTGGAGCCTCTTCTCTCTCTCACCGCCCCCCCCCCCCCCGAGGCTCAGCCTTTTCTTCCCGCACCCCACCCCCACCCTTCTTCCTGGGGAAATTGAGTTTTCCTCGGGTGTTGGAACCGGTTGGACATCTCAGGGCGGGTTACAGTGTGTTACCTTTCTCCTTCCAGTTATTCTTTAAAGAGATGAGCTAAAATGTGGCGAACTAACACCCTTTCCCCACATTGGGAGTCCCGTGGGCGACTCCCTCGACCCAGGACCCCACCGTCCTTCCCCCACTTCCCACCGCTTCCCTGCGAATAGCGGGAACCCCCACCTCTGCCAGCCGGATGGGTTTCCACCAGGGAGGTCCTCCCGCGTTGGCGAAGGAAGAGTGCCATTCCCAACCCCAGACTCCTTTTACCCCCACCCCCACCCCCAAAGACCATTTGTGATGCAAGTCGTTTTTTAAAAAATGTTTCCTAGTAAGAAAAACTGAAAGTAGAAAGAAAGGAAGCAATTTTCGAGCAGATGTCTGACCACCCCTTCTCGCAGCACTCCCCCAAGCATCGAGTTACAGGGTCCTGGGAGCCCTCCACCCACCCTCCGCGGCCCCACACGGGCGGGCGGACCCACAGCCCCTCCGCAGCAGCGTGTGCGCGACCCCTGAACCTGCCCCGGCACCCCGGGGCCCCTCTCCCCGCGCGTCCCTGGGCGGGGAGCCACACACCACCACGATCCGGGGATACATAGAAGCCGTGACATTGACGCCCCGGGGCCTCCCCGCTCCCGGCACACTCGGGGCCCGGCACGCCCCCGCCCGCTCCTGCGCCCCGCGCCGCGCTCGTCCCCGAGGGGCCCCTGCCTCCCCGCGCCGCGCCGGCCCGGCCCTCCGGGGAAAGAAAAGTAACTTGGCTTTTCTCTCGGAAGAACCCGCCAGGCAGATTCATGGGTCCGGGGGAGAAGGCAGGAGCGCGCGGAGGGTAGCGACGGGGGCTTGGTGCAGGAGGAGGAGAAGGAGGAGAGGAGCCTGCAGGAACCCGGAGGACGGAGCTCGGGGTGTCTGACTGCGCTTTCCTCATATCCCCCCATCTCTCCTTTTAGGTGGATCGATCGCGGACGGAGACGTGCCCCGGCGGAGACTATGTGCACGGCCCGGCGTCTGTAACGGCGGCGGAGCGCGCTTCGGGGAGGAGGGAGAGGAGGGATCGGCCGGCTCCTCTGCGCCCCGGCGGCAGGCGGAGTTTCGCGGCGGCAGCACCAAGTGTCGCGTCCGCCCGCCAGCGGGGAGGTCGCTCGATCCAGCCCCGCCGGCCGCCGGAGCCCGAGCGCTCCGGGTGAGGGGGAGCCAGAGCCGGCCCCGGGGCGCCGGGCAGCCGGCCGGGGGTCCCGGAGAGGGCGAGCGGCGGTCGCGAACCGGCGGAGCGCGCTGCAGCGGCGCGGCGCGCGGGCGGCATGGAGAAGGACGGGCTGAGCCGCGCGGACCAGCAGTACGAGTGCGTGGCGGAAATCGGGGAGGGCGCCTACGGGAAGGTGTTCAAGGCCCGGGACCTCAAGAACGGAGGCCGTTTCGTGGCGCTGAAGCGCGTGCGGGTGCAGACGGGCGAGGAGGGCATGCCGCTCTCCACCATCCGCGAGGTGGCGGTGCTGAGGCACCTGGAGACCTTCGAGCACCCCAACGTGGTCAGGTGAGCCCGGGGAACCCTGCCCGCGCCGCCGGGGGTGGCCCGCACCCGCAAAGTGCTGGGCCGGGAGGGATCCCAAAGGGCCAGGGAGGAGGGGACCCGTTGGCCTTACAGAGAGAATAAGTCTTGTTGACAGAGCCACGAGCCGGAGGGAGCCTGTGACCTTGCCAGACAAGCGAGCAGAAAGACACATCAGAACATGGGACCTCTAGGCAGGCTTCCCTCCCTGCGGGCCCCAAAAGGGGTCTGGGGAGTTGGGTGCCCTTTAGGTACAGAACAAGCCAACCTGGGACACGCCCTGCCAGCCCGCCCCCCTGACCCCCGCCCCCAGTAGTTCCCAGGCCATTGGGGAAATTTTGAGAGACTGAGTGTAAGTGAGAGAGGTAGCAGGATGCATGGTAATTGGAAGGAAGAGAAATTGACTGATATATATACAAGTAAGGTTAAAAAAAATGCAGAAACAATACTTTTGCCAATCACAGCCAGGGTTTCTCTTTATGGAAGAGATAATGATGGTCTATAAGCACTAAAGTGCTGATGCCCATTTTCCAGCAGTGTTCTTTTAAGTATTCTAAAAATATTGCCTGGTGTCTCTGGGCCAACATAGTCTTTGGCTTACTTCTCCCGCGGGGTAGATAGGAGTCCAAGATATGGAACCTTCGATTCTAAATTCTGAATTCTGCCTTTGCCTTTTTCTGGAGGGTTATGCAGTGGGTGGGGAGACAAAAGTTCTTGAAGTCACTCCTGTGTGGAAACCAGTGGTAAAGTGTGTGTGTGTGTGTGTATACACGCGCCTTAGGATAATGGTGTTTTCTTAGTGATCCTGGAATTTCCTCATTGTGTGGTTGACACTGTGTGATGTGTTCTCTTTTTATTTTCTAAACAGATGAATAGTTTGAAGTCAGAAAGGAATGCAAGCCCAGAACCATCTACCAATTAGGGCGTGCTTCTACCTTCCCTCATCTCTTGAGATAATGTGTTGGAAAGAGGTCTTGGGGTCTTCTTCCTGATTTCTCATCCATCTAGGGATTCTGTTCAACAAATATGTGCCTACTGTGTGCGCTGTGGATGGAAATATGTAAATAAGGACAGCTAAATATTTTTGTAACGAGTCAAACAATTTAACATTAGTCATCAAAGCGGAGAGACCCAAGACTGACCTTTGAAATACCAAGCTCTCTACAGACTCAGGGAGCCCAAGTGTGTACAGATGCATCCTGGGAGGTTTTAACTTGTCTCCTCTTATTCCAGGCTGGTGATTTGTGTGGCACTTTGTTCCTGACCCAGTTAGACTTGGGCCAGAAGGCAGCGAAGTATCATAAATACATAAATAAGGTAGTAAATGGCTATAAAGATAAGGACCCCATTATTCCTCCACTTTCACAGTAAAGCAGAGAGGGACAAAAGATAATGAGATTGGGAGAACTGTGTCTTAGGAAGACGGGATCACATATAAAAGCAGTAGGTTGCCTTTTGTGTGTGTGTGTGTGTGTGTGTGTGTGTGTGTTTTCTTTCTTGAAAAACCCACAAAAACCCCTTTGGGGAGAGTCTTTGCGATCACGGAGGGGAAAACGAGGGTGCGTTTTGTCCCCTGTAACTTAGTTATCTTCCTAGAGGAACCACGTAGGTGTTTCCCAAAGGATGAATCCTACCACTAGAATTGTAGGACTAAGATTCGTGTTTTATTTTGTTTGTTGCCTCTGGAGAGTGCCCAATCAAGGGTGATCATCGTGTGTAAATCGGATGCTGCCCTTCCGATGTAGCAGTGTTATCGAGGCACCCCTGTGCCACCCTATTGTGTACAAAGCACAGGCTATTCTTGTGACAGAGGAACGTTGTTTTGGCCATTGTGCTAGTTCTCAGTGGCCGGCAAACTGTGGCTCGAGAGCCACATTGCGGCTCCTAAGCCCCTTGAGTGTGGCTCTCCCACAGAATACCACGTGCGGGCGAGCACGTACAGTGCGATGGAAACTTCATGGCCCACCTGCAGAAGTCAGTTTTCGGCTCTCAAAAGAAATTTTAATCATTGTGCTGTTGATCTTTGGCTCTGTTGACTAATGAGTTTGCCCACCACTGTGCTAGTTGATGTGGGCAGATCTGTGTTCTCTGAATGTAGCCTCCTGAGCTTGGTGTGTCCTCAGAGATCTGGAACCGTTCCATGACTTAGATTCTGTACGGAGCACTTAAAGCACATGTGTCAAACACAAGGCCCGCGGGCCAAATCCGTCCCGCCAGGCCTTGCAATGTGGCCCGCACCGCGCTGTCATCACTGCACTCCGCTGCGTTTCCATCACAATGACAGTTTATGACTGTTCAGTAAACCATACAGCCCGCGATTTAGGCTGGATTTTAGATTTTGGCCCCTTCTCTGATTGAGTTCGACACCCCTAACTTAAAGGAAGCTGTACTGATGCATTGGAGACGGGGGTCGTTTTCTGAAATTATCTTTACATGTCAAGTCTCTTCCTATAAGCAGTAAGGAGAAGCTGAGGCACTGTGAGAGCACTTTGTCCATTTAGAAGTGTTTCAGAGGTCCAAGTATTATTTGTCTTCAGGCAGATTCGTGGGCCCTGGTCGTAAGGAAGGCATCAGTTCGCCTGACTCGTACTCTAGGACAAATCATACTTAAGCCCAGTCATTGTCAGCTCTGGACCCAAGAAGCTGCTTGAATATAATGAGCCTGTAGTTTGTCAGAAACGCCCGTCAGTCATATGCCATGAAGTTCCGGTGGCACTTGAGAAAATTATCGATGATGTCATCCTCACAAGCTGCAGACCTACATTCCAGTTTGCTTCCTTCCCGTTTCTTCGCTTCCGCCCCTGCCTTGGGGCAGCCTTTGGCCCCCGTGACTCCTGTGGCTAGGCCAGGATTCTGGACTTCAGAGGTTGCTGATATTTGCAGGGTCAGGAAATCGAGGACAGGTGACTATAATTCTTTTCCTTCCCAGGCAGAGTTGTCAAAGTTGAGCTCCCAAACCAGTGATTTATTTTCTGCCCCACAGGATTGTTGCTGGTTCTTTAAAGGTTTCTTAAAAGGGCAGATGCCTTTATAAGTGCCTTCAAGTCACAAGTAATTTATCGTAATTATAGGCCCTTCCCACAGATAGTTAAGCCTCTAAGCTTGAAGGAGCATAATAAACATATTAGCTTTTTTCCCCAAAAAAGTGTAACGTTTAATTTTGATGGGTTTGCCAGAAAAGTTGACTTATTGTTGGCACTGGCACTGCCTACATGTGTGGGGATATTGACTTGAAATTCTTGCTTACCTGCAGTGATGTAGCCAAGGCTTGATCAGTCTGGGATGTAAAGTTACCCTCACTTTATGGTTGGTAATCCCAAATCCTAGAGCCTTTGCCATAATCAGACTTCCGTATAAACCTATACTGGAGCTTTGCACGCTACAAATGAATTCTGTTGACACTTCTGAACTAAATATATACAAGCAGGTAGGATAATATGGCTTATCTGCAATCTGTTCATTCACCAAGTATTGTATTTATTGAGGGCCTACTATGAACAGGACGCTGCTACCATGTTTCCCCGAAAATAAGACATCCTCTGAAAATAAGACCTAGAGCATGGAAAGATAAGAAATCCCCTGAAAATAAGACCTAGCGCAACTTTGGGAGAAAAAATTAATATAAGACAATGTCTTATTTTCGGGCAAACAGGGTAGAAGCTGGGGATCCAGCAGCAAACAAGTCAGAAAAAGTCTACCCTTCTAGAACTTACCTTGTTAACGGGATGAGAAGTTCTTTTTCTTTTTAAAAATCCACTTATCTTTATTTCCATTGGCTTGCTTTACTATATTTAACCTAACCAATAGAGCAACTAATTTTTTTTTGTGTGTGATAATTTGGTTACCAGGAGTTTGCTGATTGAATAGGTAAGATAACCAAAACACTAACCAGAATCAAATGCTTCTTGAAGATTAAATTTCATCTTAGAGACATACAAACCGATCAATGTAAGAAGACATTGACACCTGAACAATATAGACGACGAACATTTGAGCTCTCTTTATTCAACGAAGATTTAGGAAGAACCTACTGTTTAAAAACCATGGGCTCAGTGCTGGGAAATGTACTTGAATAAATCGCACCTGGCACCTCTCCGGCAGTAATCCCCCATGGTTGAAGGAATAAGATGATCACATAACCCTGATACGTGATAGTATTGGGTCCATACAGAGACCCGTGCTACCAGTGTTGTCCTTAGGGAGCCAAGTTATTAGTGTAGCAGTAAAAACAATTCAAATCGAAGTCCTGGTTCTAGAAACCAAAACTCATGGCATTTCAGGGAATAAACTTGCGGCATCTAAATAAGTTCAGTTATTTTTGTCAGCATATTTAATCAGCGCTTTAAATAAAAAGCCAGCAGAGGAACTTCTCTTGCACGTGGGTCTCTGACTCTCTCATGTGTGTGGGGTTCCCATACATTATGTGTGTATTAATTTTGGTTATTTTCTCTTGTTAGAAATAAATAAGTAATAAAGCCAACAGAAAAATCCATGCAGCTCAATAATTATTATTCAAGGAGGGTTTTCCAACTTTCTCTCTTTCAAAATTCTTTATTGTTTAAAGTATTGCATGAGTCTTCTTTCCCCCCATGGACCTCTCCCCTGCACCCCCTCCCCCAAGCACAAGCCCTCACTCCCCCTACTGTGTGAGTCCATTGGTTTTGCTCAGGTGCAAACAAGTCCCTTGGTTGATCTCTTACCCCTCCCCCCACACCCCCGCTTTTCCTCATAGGTTGTACAGTCTGTTCGATGCTTCTATGTCTCTGGTTCTATTTTATATATATATATATATATATATATATATATATATATATATATATACATATATATATATATGTATATGTATATATATGTATATATATACACACACACACACACACACACACATATATATATATATATATATATATATATATAATTTTTTTATTGATTTTTTTTACAGAGAGGAAGGGAGAGAGATAGAGAGATAGAAATGTTGATGAGAG